TTGGCGTCAAAGGCCCTTCCTCCCTCTCCTCTTCCTCTCTCTCCTCTGCACCTGCCTCAGATGCCACCCTAGCACGCTCTGTCGGCGCCGCCCGCGCCTTAGGCACGCACAAAAAGACCCGCCTCAGGTTCCCACTATGGAGGCCCCGAGCGATTTCTGCTGAGGGCATCGCGAAGAACTTCTCCTCCCCAGCCGCTTCCGTACCCTCCTCTTTGCATTCTTGCTATCTCTGAAGCTTATGGGTGGAGAAGTGGAGGTGGGACAGGAAGGGGGGATGGGCCACCCTCAGCGGCTGAGCGCGGATCCCTCTCACTCTACACCCTTACGCGCCTGCCCCAGACCAGGCGTTCAGGTTTCAGTGATCTTCATTGGAGCCCCTGCCAGATGAAACAAGGGGTCCAAGGGGGATCGCTTCACTTGCAGGAGCAGGCAATAGAAGGAAACCATGCTCTCCTCCTGCTCCTTCACGGTGTTTCGTTTACTCTATGGCTAGAGTAAATGTTCCCTTTTTTGAGATCCCTTGTGAAGGTCTTGCTACCTCTCATCTGCTCGTGTCCCATGGCCTGCGGAGTGGGAGACGCGAGCTGGCGTCGGAGTCTTCCGCCCCAGGCTGGAGTGCAGTGGCGCGATCTTGGGCTCACTGCAACCTCTGCCTCTGGGGTTCAGGTGATTCTCCTCCCTCAGTCTCCCGAGCAACTGGAATTATAGGCACCTGCCATCACACCTGGCTAATTTTTGTATTTTTGTAGACATGGGGTTTCGCCATGTTGGCCAGGCTGGTCTTGAACTCCTGACCTCAAGTGATCCACCCACCTCGGCCTCCCATGCCCTGGGATTACAGCCATGAGCCACTGCACCTGGCCTAAAATTTTCACCTGAAACCCATCCCGGACACAGGCATCCAGCCTCCTCCATCCCTCTGGCAGGAAGAAGATGAGATCACTTACCTTCTCAGGTGTCCACAGCTCCCTCTGTAAGGAAAAGTCACAACTGGGACACAAGCCAAGAGCCTCCAGAGCCCCACACCAGGGTAGGGTCAGCTCATGGGAGGCAGACATTGGTCCCCAGCAGATTGGTGCCCCGCACCCTCTCCCACCCCTGGAGTGAACCCTCGAACGCTCCTCTTATGCCCACCTGGCGCTGTATGACGTAGCCCTCAAACCACTCAGCCTGATTGGAAACCCAGAACATCGCCACAGGGAAAGTGAGGTAGAGTATCATCTGGAATGGCAGAGGGTGGGTGAGGTGACCGCCCCCCTCCCCCAAGCAATGTGCAGAGGCTCCTCAGAGCCTGGGGGACCCATCCTACTGCAGAGTCCAGAAGCGCCTCGTTAGGGCCGACCCAAGGACCCCAGAACTCCCACCAAGGGTACAGAAACCTCGCATCCTAAAACCTAACTCCTATAATCCAGGAGGCTTCATTCCTGAAAGTCCCCCCGAGCTGGAGTCTTCCTCTCAAAGACAGACAGACATACAGAGGCCCGAGCTACAATCAAAAGCATCTCCTCGAGACCTCATTACTCATCCCCACTTAAGATCCCGGGAGCACCCCCAAACCCAGGAGGCGTCACTCTTCAACTCCACTTCTCGAAGTCTGGGAGTCTCCCTATCATAGACACCCACCCACCACAAGCCCGAGAGCTCCCCCAGGATCTTAAGTCTTCCTTCTTTAGAGCCCCCTTCTCAGCCAACCCCTCTCTGAGGTCTTTCCTCGGACCAGCCCTCTCACAGCCCCCAAACCCAGAAGCCCAAATCTGAGAACCCCCCCTCCTCAACCCAGCGTCCCCTCTCCTGGATTTCCAATCAGAAAGGTCCCTCTCAAATCTTAAGAGCTTTCTCCTTGGAGCACCCTCTTTCTTTTAAGACCCCCATTTCCAGCCTCATCTTCAGATCCAGGAAGATCCCCTGCTCAGCCTCCCAATCCACTCCTGTGTCCACTGACCCGAAATATCTCCAGCTTCACCCCCATCTCGTTTCTCCCGGTCAACAAAGCAACTTCCGCCCAAAGCCGACCCTCCAGCAAGACAGAAGCTCATTGGTGTTTTGCACGCTCCATTGCTGAAGCTGATTGGTCAATGTGTATCCTGATGACGTATATTCGGGCGTCTCTATGTTGCTTCCGGTCGCTGGCGTCTTCGAAACGAAGTCAAGAACGTGGGCCTGTCCGTCAAAAAGGATTTAACCAATAGAAAACGGGTCTGGCCCGGAGGGGCGGGCCGTCAGTGGTAGATGTCATAAGCGCGCGACTCTCGCCTGTACCTGGGCATCCAGGAAAATGGTGGTGATGGCGCGACTCTCGCGGCCCGAGCGGCCGGACCTTGTCTTCGTGAGTCCACAGAGGAGCCAGGGGTGGCCTGCGTTGGGGCATTGGGACCTGGACGCCGCAGGGGATCGGGGCCGGGTCGCCAAGGGGATTTAGGCCAAAATTGCCAGGCCAAGGATTGGGGACCCTAACGGGCCAGAGACCGGATTGTGATGTCCACACCTAACTGGCCAGGAGTAAAAAATACGGTGTTGTGTCTTAGGGTCTGAGTAGAAAACTACTGTCGAAGGAAAGCGTCTAGCCTCCCGAGCCAGGGGCGGAAATGGGGGCTTGCAGGGAATGGGAGAGGAAGGAGACCGCATAATTGAACCTTGAGAAGTGAAGACCGATGTCTGAAGTAAAGGCGTGATTACGAGGCCAGGGCTTCGGTTTCTGGAATGAAGGCTTGGTTTTCTAGATAGCGGTCTCTAGGTCTGGACTGCGGCATGACAGTTTCTGGGGGTGGTGGCCAGGCTAGAAGAACCCTGGTGTTGTGGAGCTTGTCAGGCAATGGCCAATGAAATGCTTATTGGCTGGAGTAGAGGCGTGACATCTTCACCAGATTCTTGGTGTGCAGAGTTAAAGGCTTGGCTTCTGGTGTATAACTGCTCTTACGAGATAAAGGCTTAGCTTTTAACTTCTGGGGCAGAGTTGAGCTAGATGCTGGCTAGTGGGATCCTGGGGGTGGGGCCAGTGGCTTGAAATCTGGACCTGAGAGCCCTGGTGGCTGGGGTGGAGATCTGGTCGTCTGGGCCTGGAGTGGAGATGGATCAGTTGGTGACAGTGGGAGCCTGAGGGGCCAAAGGCCTGGTGTCTGGGAAGAGGCATGTTTTGAAGAAGTGGGGTCTGGTGTCCAGGACAGAAGCCTGGCATCTGGGCCAGGGCCTTGGTAGCTAAGGAGTCTGACCATTTGGGGCAGAAAGCGAGTGGTGATGTGGACTCATGCCTGGCCCAGAGCCCTAATAACTGAGAAGTCTGATGATTTGGGTTCAATTTTGGGTAGTTGAATTCTGAGGGGTAAAGGTCTGGGCCAGTGTCTTGGTGTCTGGGCATCTGGTTTGGTGCCTGGTTTGGTGTCTGGGCATCTGGTGACCTGACTTCCTTGGTGGGTGGTGGGATCTGGGTAAAAGTCCAGAGTTTGGACCTGAGCCCCAGTAGTGGGGTGGTGCCGCACGCAGGCTCTGAGGGTAGACCTCTCTTCGCCCCATTCCCTGGCCCTGGCAGGAGGAAGAGGACCTCCCCTATGAGGAGGAAATCATGCGGAACCAGTTCTCTGTCAAATGCTGGCTTCGCTACATCGAGTTCAAACAGGGCGCCCCGAAGCCCAGGCTCAATCAGCTATATGAGCGGGCACTCAAGCTGCTACCTTGCAGGTGGGAATGGCTCCAGCTGCCCTGCCCACCAGCCCCTGCCCCCCCGGTCCAGTTATAACAAAACTGCCAAGTAGGTCCCAGGTGATTGCTTTGTGTCCCATCACTGACCTGTACATCCCTTGATGGGTCAGCACACCTCCTCTGATGTCCCAGTCTGTCCCTGTCATTGCTGAGACATGTGACCCCTCCCACACCCACATTTGCCAACAGGGGCAGGGCAGATGGTTCTGGGGGGGTCCATAAAGCTGACCGATCAGCATCTGTCCCCTCCTGTTCCCCAGCTACAAACTCTGGTACCGATACCTGAAGGCACGTCGGGCACAGGTGAAGCATCGCTGTGTGACCGACCCCGCCTACGAAGATGTCAACAACTGTCATGAGAGGGCCTTTGTGTTCATGCACAAGGTTTGGGGCTAGGCGAGGGGATAAATCGGGAGGGGGGGCTCAGTCCATGGTGGTGGGTGGGGTAGGGACGGGGCTGGGCTCAGCATGTTAGGGATGGGGGCCTGGAATCCTGTTGCTTCTGTGCATGGGAAGTTGGGCTGGACTCAGTCCTGGAGCTGGGGGTTTCTGGGTCCTGCTGCATTTATGTGGAGCCCCAGGTGTGACTCAGCCACAGGACATCAAGTGTCTGTGGCTAGGCCATGGAGTCCGTGGCTTAGCCCCAGCCGCCTCTCCCCACACCCCCAGATGCCCCGTCTGTGGCTAGATTACTGCCAGTTCCTCATGGACCAGGGGCGCGTCACACATACCCGCCGCACCTTCGACCGTGCCCTCCGGGCACTGCCCATCACGCAGCACTCTCGAATTTGGCCCCTGTATCTGCGCTTCCTGCGCTCACACCCACTGCCCGAGACAGCTGTGCGAGGCTATCGGCGCTTCCTCAAGGTGAGCCCAGCAGGTACGCCGGTTCCCCAGGTTAGTTTCCAGAAACTGCCTCACTGTGACACTAGCTCCGTGTAGGATGTCACCCAGCAGACCGGATGTGGGAAGAGGCACCAGGAGATGCATATGTCTTGTCCGTGATTCATGTCTTTATTTTCCAAATAGTTTGCTCACGCCAGTTTCACATTAGGTATAGAGATGGGTGCTGAGGACAGTGTGGCTAAGACACTCCCTACCTGCACGGAGCTTTTAGTCTAACTAGGAAGACGGATGTATGTGAGCTGATGGCATGAACTAGAGTAAAACCACAGCCATGATGAGGGCCAGGAATAGGAGGTGGGGAGAAGCAGGCAGGGTGGAGAGTGGAAGCATCAGCTGGGCGGGAGTGGGGCGTGGTTTGCTCAAACTCACAGTATCTGTTCTGTGACATTTGGATTCTAAGCTGGACCAGTCAGGACTGAGGCTAGACCTGTGGGGCCCAGGCTGGGCACTATAGTCAAGGCTGGACCCATGGGATCAAGGCTGACCCAAAGGGGCCAAGGCTAGTCAGGACTGAGGCTGGACCAGTGGAGCCAAGGCTGCATCCATTGTGGGTTGGGGGTCAATTCTAACCCAAAAGGATCAAGGCTGGACCTTTGGGGCTGAGACTGGACCACTGCAGTCAAGGCTGTGCCGTTGCAGGTCAAGGCTAATCCAAAAGGTCCGCAGCTGGTCTAGTCAGGACTGAGGCTGGACCAGTGGAGCCCAGGCAGGACCCATAGAGGGTTGAGCCTAACCCAGCGGGGCCAAGGCTAGAGCACTTGGAACCGGGCTGGACCAGTGGGGCTGAGGCTGGTTTGACAGGGCTTGCTTTTGCCCAAGACAGTTGTAAATGGGTGGGGGGCACCCCAAAGCCACTGAATCGGGAGGTGGGCATAGCCCTGCCGCCCCACTGACTGCCTGAGGGGTGGGTCGGTCCCCAGCTGAGTCCCGAGAGTGCAGAGGAGTACATTGAGTACCTCAAGTCAAGTGACCGGCTGGATGAGGCCGCACAGCGCCTGGCCACTGTGGTGAACGACGAGCGTTTCGTGTCTAAGGCTGGCAAGTCCAACTACCAGGTAGGCCTGCTGGGAGCCGAGTGGGTGGGAGGGCCACCCCCCTCCGTGACTGAGCCTGAGTTTCTCCCCCCGCTGCCCCATGCCCTGCAGCTGTGGCACGAGCTGTGCGACCTCATCTCCCAGAACCCGGACAAGGTACAGTCCCTCAATGTGGACGCCATCATCCGTGGGGGCCTCACCCGCTTCACCGACCAGCTGGGCAAGCTCTGGTGTTCGCTCGCTGACTACTACATCCGCAGCGGCCACTTCGAGAAGGTGCGCACTGGCACACGGGGCTCTGGGTTCGGGGTGGGGTCTCCCTCCGACACTTGGGGATACATGTTGACACATACACAGGCAGAAAACATGTGCCATTTATGGCTGGGCACGGTGGCTCACGCCTGTCATCCCAGCACTTGGGGAGGCCGAGGCAGTAGAATCACTTGAGGTCAGTGCTTCAAGACCAGCCTGGCCAACATGGCAAAACCCCATCTCTACTAAAAATACAAAAATTGGTCAGATATGGTGGCGGGCACCCATAATCCCAGCTATTCGGGAGGCTGAGGCAGGAGAATCACTTGAACTTGGGAGGTGGAGGTTGCAGTGAGCCGAGATCACGCCACTACACTCCAGCCTGGGTGGCAGAGCGAGATTCCATCTCAAAAAAAAAAAAAAAAGTGCCATTTGTGACAGACATGCGTGTCCCTGCACACGATTGCCGTCCTGGTGACGGGAGGGAGACACTCCTGCCCGCAAGCCCACCAAGCTTGGAGTCAGCCACACTTGCGTTCAGGGTTCACCCTCTGGCTGTGTGGCCTTGGCCCCACTAAGGCTGGGTGTCCTCATTTGTACAATCAGGGTGACAGTTACTGCCTGTCACCAATCAGCACGGTGACGCAGGCACAGCACTGAGGAGATACGTGGTGTGAGGGCCTCTCCCTCAGGGGTTAGCTGACTATGGCTGTTGGTAGGCGGTGGAGTGGCAAGCTCAGGGGACGGTCTGGGGGCAGGTGGGTGCGGAGGGGGCTGGAGCTGAGAGCAGGGAGGCACAGGAAGCCGGGGAAGATAGGTTGGGAGCCTCGAAAGCCAAATGGGCTGGCCGTGCTGCTGACTAGGGGAGCTGCCAGTGGGGTGTGGATGGTATGTGCTTCCCAGCGCCCCTTCCAGGGGCACATGTAGGCCAAGGCTGCTGGAGGCAGCAGGGCGAGACCCCTCAGGGCTGGGTGGAGAGTGGGCCTGAGCTGGGGTGGGTGAGCCAGGTGGGGGACAGGCAGGCTGGGGAAGAGGGTCAGGCAAGCCAGAGGGGCACTTTGGAGCCAACTCTGAGCCCTCGGAGAATGAGCTGAGGCAAGGGTCCCTGCAGGGTGGACCCATAGGCGCTGGGGGGTTTTGGCCACCTATTGGGTGCCAAGTGCTTCACACACGTGTCTCAGTTGAGCCTGAGGTCACTGTGCACAAAGAGCAGTCGCCCGGTTTACTAAGGGGGTCCTGAAGCTCCCAAGATCACCCTGGCAGTGCAGGGCAGGGTGGGGGCCAGAAGCCTCTACTGACACTCTGTCCTGGGATCACTGCCTGGAGGTGCTGGATGGGCCCCCGGGAGGCCCCAGGGGTTCCAGATTGGGGCTGGTGCTAAGAGTGCTGCTGCCTGTCCCCTGCGTCACTTTCCTCTCACCTCCCCTTCCCTGGGTCCCCGCAGGCTCGGGATGTGTACGAGGAGGCCATCCGGACGGTGATGACCGTGCGGGACTTCACACAGGTGTTTGACAGCTATGCCCAGTTTGAGGAGAGCATGATCGCCGCAAAGATGGAGACCGCCTCAGAGCTGGGGCGCGAGGAGGAGGGTGAGCCTCTGGGGGCCCCGGCTGGTGGGGAGAGAGCTGAGTGGACATCAGCGGGTGGCGGGGGGGCACATCTCAGGTGGGGCAGCCCCAGGAGGCTCAGCTGGGGGCCAGCAGGGAAGGAGGCTGGGTGAATGCAGGGGTTGTGGGGGCCTTGGAGGAGCCAGGAATGGGGACATATCTCAGGCCTGGACCAGAGCCTGGCAGGGCAGGAGGGCTAGGGGAACAGTGGGGGTAGGAGGGGTATCCTCAGTGGCTGGGGGTGGGGCTCAGGTGCACACCCGAGCTGAGTGTCTAGGGCCCAGAGCACTTGGCTGGGGGCTGGAGCGGAGCGAGGGCAGGGAGCAGAGGCGGCGGCGTTCGGGGCCCTGCATCCTGGGTCTCAGCCCCTCACGAACTCCCCTTGCGGCTCCCAGACGACGTGGACCTGGAGCTGCGCCTGGCCCGCTTCGAGCAGCTCATCAGCCGACGTCCCCTGCTGCTCAACAGCGTCTTGCTGCGCCAGAACCCACACCACGTGCACGAGTGGCACAAGCGTGTCGCCCTGCACCAGGGCCGCCCCCGGGAGGTGCGTGAAGCCTGCCCCGGTCCTGCCCCTGAGGGTCCATTTCCTGCAGAACTGGGGAGCCACCCACCTTCACCCATAATGTCACCTCCTGGGGCCTGACTGTGCTTAGTAGGTCCCATTCCACCCGTGTTCTTGGGGTTCTCGTCCTGCTGTAGCCCCACCCCTCAGAGCCACAGCTCCCTCCTGGCCCCACCCCTTGGAGGGCCACAGCTCCCTCTGGGCCCCACCCCTTGGAGCGCCACAGCTCTCTCCCGGCCCCGCCCATTAGGGCCACAGCTCTCCTGACCCCGCCCCTTGGGGGGCCACAGCTCTCCTGACCCTGCGCCTTGGGGGGCCACAGCTATCTCTTGGTCCTGACCCTTGGCAGGGGCCACATTTCCCTCCTGGCCTCTCCTGACAGGGACCACAGCACCCTCCAGGCCCCGCCCCTCAGAGCCACAGCTCTGCCCCGACACTCATCTGCAGGGTCCTGAGTCCCATATGACCTCCTCTCTCCTGTCTCCAGATCATCAACACCTACACAGAGGCTGTGCAGACGGTGGACCCCTTCAAGGCCACAGGCAAGCCCCACACTCTGTGGGTGGCGTTTGCCAAGTTTTATGAGGACAACGGGCAGCTGGACGATGTGAGCACCCTGCTGCGCATGCCTGTGTGTTCATGTGTGTGTGCATGCGTGTGTGCATGCGTGTGCATGTATGTGTGTGTGCCTGTGTTCATGTATGTGTGCATGCATATGTGTGTGCGCCTGTGTGTTCATGTATGTGTGCATGCATGTGTGTGTGCGCCTGTGTGTTCATGTATGTGTGCATGCATGTGTGCTCGTATGTGTATGCATGTGTGTGTGCCGGTGTGTTCATGTGTGCATGCATGTGTGTGCTCGTATGTGTGTGCATGTATGTGCGTGTGCCTGTGTTCATGTATGTGTGCATGCATGTGTGTGTGCCTGTGTGTTCATGTATGTGTGCATGCATGTGTGCTCGTATGCGTATACATGTGTGTGCCAGTGTGTTCATGTATGTGTGCATGCGTGTGTTCGTATGTGTGTGCATATATGTGCGTGTGCCTGTGTTCACGTATGTGTGCATGCATGTGTGTGCTCGTATGTGTGTGCATGTATGTGCGTGTGCCTTTGTGTTCATATATGTGTGCATGCATGTGTGTGCTCGTATGTGTGCATGTATGTGTGCCTGTGTGTTCATGTATGTGTGCATGCATGTGTGCTCGTATGTGTATGTGTGTGTGCCTGTGTTCATGCATGTGTGCGTGCATGTGTGTGCTCGTATGTGTGCATGTATGTGTGCCTGTGTGTTCATGTGTGTGCATGTGTGTGTGCCCGTATGTGTGTGCATGTGTGTTCATGTATGTGCACATGCACGTGTGTGCTTGTATGTGTGCATGTATGTGCGTGTGCCTGTGTGCGCACGTGTGTGTGCATGGATGTGTGCATGTGTGTGCATGTTTGGGTGCATGCATGTGTGTGCACACGTGTGTGCCTGTGTGTATGCACATATGTTTGTTTGCCTGTACGTTTGTGAGCACGGTCGCCTTTCTGACCCTTGGTGATGGGGGCTGTCCAGGCGGGCAGGGTCTCAGCCTGGCCTCTGCCTGCCCTTGCAGGCCCGTGTCATCCTGGAGAAGGCCACCAAGGTGAACTTCAAGCAGGTGGATGACCTGGCAAGCGTGTGGTGTCAGTGCGGGGAGTTGGAGCTCCGACACGAGAACTACGATGAGGCCTTGCGGCTGCTGCGAGTGAGAACAGGCCCAGGTTGTGGGGTGGGGGCTGCAGGTTGTACGGCCGGGGCCCAGGACAGCCCCTGAGCGCCTCCCCGGCCGCTGTCTGCCCCTGCAGAAGGCCACGGCGCTGCCTGCCCGCCGGGCCGAGTACTTTGATGGCTCAGAGCCCGTGCAGAACCGCGTGTACAAGTCGCTGAAGGTCTGGTCCATGCTCGCCGACCTGGAGGAGAGCCTCGGCACCTTCCAGGTGAGCTGCCTGTGGCTGGGGAGGGACGGGGCCCCAGATTCAGCTGCAGAACCACCTCTGACCTGTCCCCATCCCCGCCCCCATAGTCCACCAAAGCCGTGTATGACCGCATCCTGGACCTGCGCATCGCGACACCCCAGATCGTCATCAACTATGCCATGTTCCTGGAGGAGCACAAGTACTTTGAGGAGAGCTTCAAGGTGAGGGGCTGGGGCAGACCCGGAGGCCCCTGATGGTGGTGTCCCCTCCCCCAGGGAGCCTCGGCACCTTACAAGTCCGCTGGGGCTTGTGTGACACAGTATACAGACTGGGTGATTTAAACAACAGAGATTCAGCTTCTCCCTGTCCTGGAGGCTGGAAGTCCAGGATGGAGGCGTGGGCAGGGCTGGTTCCTCCCGAGGTCTCTCTCCTTAGCTTATAGGCAGCCACCTTCTCCCTGTGTCTTTGTGTAGCCTTCTTTTTGTGTGTGTCACTTTCGAAATTTCCTCTTCTTAAAAGGACATCAGTCATAATGGATTAGGCGGCCCCTAACGACCTCAGTTTAACTTAGTGATCTCATCTTCAAACGAATCTACCTTCTGAGGTACTGGGGGTTAAGATTTCAGCATATGAATGTTGTGGCGGGGCACAGTTCATTCCACAGCAGGCACGGAGTTCTACTTCCGTGTGCACCCGTGACTTGTGGGGAGGGTGTTGGTGCCAGTGTGTGCGGGCTGTCCCTGCCCCGCTGCTCAGGAGATGGCTTGTGGGGTCCATGGGGTGGGTTGCGTGTCTCCATGGCAAGGCCCTGTCCCGCGGCCGGAGCAGTCATGTCATGTATGTGTGTGTTTCTATGGATCGTGTGGGCATTATACAGATACACAAATGGGGAGGTCGTACATGCACATGTGTGCTGCTGCCTGCCCCTCTGCCTGGGGTTATGGCCTTCTCCCTGGGGATGGGCAGCCAGTATCAGCGGAGCTGGGGAGCCACCCACCTTCACCCGTCCCCCATCACGTCACCTCCTATGGGGTCAGACTGCTTAGCAGGTCCCATTGCACCCCTGTTCTTGGGGTTCTCGCAGAGGGAGACAGTGCAGAGGACAGACCCCAACAACTGCCATTAGGGACAGGGAAGGGCCCCGAGGGAGACCCCAGCGGGCTCCCTACAGACGTCACCCAAGGACATCCCGGGTGCCTGGTGGTCTCTACCTACAGACTCTTACGTATGACCGTCCCTCTGGTAACAGGCGTACGAGCGCGGCAGGCAGAAAACCCAGCCGCCTGCCTGCCCATGCCGCGTCTGCCCCTCACTCTTGGCAATATTTCGGGGGACAGCCCATCCCAGAAGCCTGCTTCACCAGTCCCGCGCCCCGCTCATGCTGGCGGCCCCATAACGGGCCAACTGATTTGGTCCAGATAGGCTGCCTCCAGAATGTTCGGACACGTTGGTGCCACTTAACAGCGAG